ATGTAAGCATTTAACATGGATTAAAAAGTAAATAATATAAGCATCTGCAAGGTAGGGACGTAAAATTTCTATTATCTGGCTAACTGAATAATCGATGCAATTTGCATTGACTATTCAATTACTCCATAAAGATGCCTTCTTCAAAGGCGAAAGCGCTGTGGGGAGCACAGGGCCTGCAAGAGGACTCAAGCAGTCCCCTGCTGGCCCCGTGAAACCTGTGGCATTCCAAAGTGGCAGCGCAGCATGGAGCCCAGGGTCAGCTCAGGCTCCATGCAGTGCTGCCACTTTGAAATGCTGTAGAGAGCTCGGCATCAGGCTCCACATGGAGTTTCAAAGCAGCAGCGCCACATGGAGTCCAGGATCTGGCCCCAGGCTCCATGCAGTTCTGCCACTTTGAAGCACTCCTTCCTTTTCCCCTCCTGCCTTTTTCTAGTCGACTACCCTGTTGACTATCCAATAAGCATTTGCTACTCTGATAGTTGACTAATTGATTAGTTCACATCCCTCCTGCGAGGGAAAGCAAAGTATAAAATTTCATATCTCTAAACCATGCATCTCATGTTTTCAACATACTGAGTTTTATGTCTGAATTCTGGATTATAAAATGTTGGGGAAAGACTAATCTTTAATGAACTTTTGCTCATAGAGTCCAGTTTCTCAGTGGGACGTCTGGATGATACCAATTGTTTTCAGATTTTAAGAGAAGCTTCCAGATCACAGGCCCTGTTTCTCCTGGGGGACTTGAACCACCCTGACATCTGTTGGGAGACCAATACAGCAGTACACAGACAATCCAGGAAGTTTTTGGAGAATGTTGGAGATAACTTCTTGGTACACTGGATAGACTTACATGTAGTGCTGGAGAGGAGCCGGTGGTCATGGTACATATACATATCAATGACGTAGGGAAGGGTAGCAGAGATGTCCTGGAGGCCAAATTTAGGCTTCTAGAAAAAAGACTGAAATCCAAGACTTCTATGGTGGCATTCTCAGAAATGCTTCCTGTTCCGCGCACAGTGCCAAGTAGGCAGAAAGAACATCGGAGTCTCAATGCGTGGATGAGACGATGGTATAGGGAGGAGGGGTTTATATTTATTAGGAACTGGGGACACTTTTGGGAGAGAGGGAGCCTATACAGGAAGGATGGGCTCCACCTAAACCAAGGTGGATCCAGACTGCTGGCATTAAACATTAAAAAGGTCATAGAACAGTTTTTAAACTAAGAGATGGGGGAAAGCTGATTGGTGCGGAAGAGCACGTGGATCGGACAGAGACTTCTCTTAGAGGACAGTCCATTGATGGAGATTCTCTAGGTTTTAGTCAGAAAGAGAGGAGGGGAGATGATAAACTATGGGCCAGATCAGACAAGAAACAATCACATATACAAGAATCTAATTCATCAAGGAAAGGCAGACAGATAAACAGTGGCAATTTTTTAAAGCACTTCTACACAAATGCTAGAAATCTAAAAAATAAGATGGGTGAACTAGAGTACCTCGTATTAAAGGAGGAAAGGAGGAGACTGACATAATAGGCATCACAGAAACCTGGTGGAATGAGGACAATAAGTGGGACACAATCATACCAGGATATAAAATATATCGGAAGGACAGAATAGGTCATGCAGGTGGCGGAGTGGCACTATATGTGAAAGATAATGTAGAATCAAATGAAGTAAAAATCTTAAATGAATCAACATGTTCCATAGAATCCCTATGGATAGTAATTCCATACTCTAATAAGAATATAGCAGTAGGGATATATTATCGACCATCTGATCAGGACAGTGATAGTGATGATGAAATGCTAAAGGAGATTAGAGAGGCTATCAAAATAAAAAACTCAATAATAATGGGGATTTCAATTATCCCCATATTGACTGAATACATGTCACTTCAGGACGAGATGCAGAGATAAAATTTCTCGATGGCTTAAAAGATTGCTTCTTGGAGCAGCTGGTGCAGGAACCCACAAGGGGAGAGGCAATTCTTGATTTAGTCCTGAGTGGACTGCAGGATCTATTACAGGACTGCTTAGGAATAGCGACCAGAATATAACAACATTTAACATTCCTGTGGTGTAAAGAACACCTCAGCAGTACAACACTCTGGCATTTAATTTCAAAAAGGGAAATTATGCAAAACAGAAATTAAAAGGTACATTGATTAGAGTAAAATCCCTGCATGCTGCATGGAAACTTTTCAAAGACGTCATAATAGAGGCCCAACTTAAATGTATACCCCAAATTAAAAAACATAGTAAGACACCTAAGAAAGAGCCATCATGCCTTAACAACCATGTAAAAGAAGTAGTAGGAAATAAAAAGACATCTTTTAAAAGGTGGGAGTCCAATCCTAGTGAGGTAAATAGAAAAGAACATAAACACTGCCAAATTAACTATAAACAAGTAATAAGAAAAGCCAAAAAAGATTTTGAGGAACAGCTAGCCAAAAACTCAAAAAGTAACAGCAAAATGTTTTTTAAGTACATTAGAAGCAGGAAGCCTGCTAAAAAACCAGTGGGGACCCTGGACAATCGAGATACAAAAGGAGCAATCAAGGACGATAAAACCATTGCAGAGAAATTAAATTATTTCTTTGCTTCAGTCTTCATGGCTGAGGATGTTAAGGAGATTCCCAAACCTGTACTGTCCTTTGTGGATGATGAATCTGAGGAACTGTCCCGGATTAAAGTGTCATTAGAGGCGGCTTTGGAACAAATTGAAAAATTTAAGAGTAACAAATCACTGGACCGGATGGCATTCACCCAAGGGTTCTGAAAGAACTCAAATGTGAAATTGCCGAGCTGTTAACCGTGGTTTGTAACCTATCCTTTAAATCAGCTTCTGTTCCCAATGACTGGAAGATAGCTAACATAACGCCAATATTTAAAAAGGGCTCAAGAGGTGACCCTGGCAATTACAGACCAGTAAGTCTAATGACAGTACCGAGCAAATTAGTTGAAACAACAGTAAAGAATAAAATTGTCAGACACACAGAAGAACATAATTTGTTGGGCAAAAGTCAACATGGGTTCCGTAAAGGGAAATCATGTCTTACTAATCTATTAGAGTTCTTTGAAGGGCTCAACAAATATGTGGACAAGGGGATCCAGTAGATATAGTGTACTTAAATTTCCAGAAAGCCTTTGACAAGGTCTCTTACCAAAGGCTCTTGTGTAAATTAGGTTGTCATGGGATAAGAGGGAAGATCCTTCCATAGACTGAGAACTGGTTAAAAGACAGGAAACAAAGGGTAGGAATAAATGCTAAATTTTCAGAATGGAGAGGTGTAACTAGTGGTGTTCCCCAAGGATCAGTCCTAGAACCACTCCTATTCAACTTATTCATAAACTATCTAGAGAAAGGGGTAAACAGTGAGGTGTCAAAGTTTGCAGACGATACTAAACTGTTCAAGATAGTCAAGACCTAAGCAGACTGTGAAGACCTTCAAAAAGATCTCACCAAACTGAGTGATTGGGCAACAAAATGGCAAATGAAATGTAATGTGGATAAGTGTAAAATAATGCACATTGGAAAAAATAACCCCAACTATACATACATTATGATGGGGGCTAATTTAGTTACAACTAATCAAGAAAGAGATCTTGGAGTTACCGTGGATAGTTCTCTGAAAATGTCCACGCAGTGTGCAGTGGCAGTCAAAAAAGCAAACGGGATGCTAGGAATTATTTAAAAAGGGATAGAAAATAAGACGGAGAATATCTTACTGCCCCTATATAAAACTATAATTCAGGCCCTGACTGGCTTAGGGGCGGGGCAGTGTGCAAAGCATCCTCCCACACCCCAAGGAGCACTTTGAAGTGCCACATGCTTCTCGTAGGGCAGGAGGAGGCTTTGCGTGCTCCTCCACCCACAGGCCAATCAGGACGTGGGAGTGGGGGAGCTGTGCAAAGCTGCCTTCACCCTGCCCTGGCCATGCGAGGAGCACTTCAAAGTGCCATGCACTCCTCGCAGGGAGGGAGGAGGCTTTGCACGCTCTCCTACCAAGGAGCACTTTGAAGTGCCACATGCTTCTCGTAGGGCAGGAGGAGGCTTTGCGTGCTCCTCCACCCACAGGCCAATCAGGACGTGGGAGTGGGGGAGCTGTGCAAAGCTGCCTTCACCCTGCCCTGGCCATGCGAGGAGCACTTCAAAGTGCCATGCACTCCTCGCAGGGAGGGAGGAGGCTTTGCACGCTCTCCTA